AGGTACGAACTAACTAAACAACTAGTAGTACGTAAGTACGACAACTTACTATATTACTTTCTTCTAACTAATAGTTTTCTTTCTTCTACTTACTTAACTACTACTACTCCTCCCTCCTCCTCTCTCTCTTCTTCTTCTCTCTCTCTCTCTCTCTCTCTCTCTCTCTCTCTCACACACACACACACACACGCGAACACATACACAGTCCAGTTTACATAGGAAATTGGTCCCAATCATCTCCAAGCCAATATTTTAACCCCTGAATTGTGCTCCTTCTCCTTCCCCCAAATACCAACTCCTACACTCTCCATTTACAATGGACATATTCTTCAAATGGGTGCCATACCCATATCGGAACTTTACGACAACAAATACGAACATAAAAACCATTAGATAGAGTAGCCCCGCTATGCTGCCAAAGCCCACCTTACCAAGGGAACCGAAGAACCTTAAAGCAAAGAATGCCATGCCACTAACAATTAGCAACACCACAGCCCTCAAAGACCGCTCCTCTCGCCTAAGCCCACAAAGTCTATCATTGTGAAAATTCCTGCACCTTTTCATAGGATTGTGAACTACCTAAACCTTGCAACGCTATGCCCTAATTTTGATCAATCATCTCACCAAAGTCATCATTGATATTACCATGCACTAAGGTTTCAAAACAATGTTGTGATATTTCTAGATCCCATTCACTTGACTACACAATAGAATACATCACAGTGGCTTTTCCACTTCAAAACCATTCTCTATTAAACATCCCACTAGAGTATTGGACAATGAGAGATTCCTTTAAATAACTATTGTAATAGATTACAAGCAAATAACATATGGGTTACAAGAAATGGTTTAAAAAACGGATCGGTGCACCAGATCGGTCTCCCCAAAAACCCATACGGATCAGTGAATCGCCCATCCGGATCTGGAATCGGCCGAATCGGTCCAATTAAGCTTTAAAAAAAATCCAAAAAAATTATTAAAATTCATTATAAATATTGTTTTTTAGGAATCCAATAAGAAATAGGGGTACTACATTATTATTTCATTTTCTTTCATTAATTTGCAAATATTGAGATGTTCTTTCCTTGTTTGAACTTATGTTAACCATTGAATTTACATTACATAAAAGAAAAATCATAAACTCATCATGAATAAAATATATAATCATACATGGACTACAATAAAAAATGGATTAAATTGATGAAAAAATGAGCACTAAAATCTCGAATTATTGTATTATCTTTTATTTTATTTTTTCCTTTTATTTTTTTGATGACATTATTTTCTTTCTTTTATTTTTTTTAGAAGATAAATTGTTTTTTGACAAGAAACGTTTGTTGTCTTATCTTTTATTTTAATTTTTTCCTTTTCTTTTTTTTGATGATATTATTTTTTTCCTTTTATTTTTTTTGGAAGATAAAAATAAAACGCTTTTTTTCCTTGTTTTATGACATTATTTTCTTCCTCTTTATTTTTTTTTCATGACATTATTTCCTTCCTTTATATTATTTTTTTGTCTTTTATTTTTTCGATGATATTATTTTTTGCCTTCTATTTTTTTTGAAAGATAAAAATAAAATGCTTTTTTTCCTTTGTTTTATGATATTATTTTCTTCCTCTTTATTTTATTTTTAAGATATTATTTTCTTCCTTTACATTATTTTTAATGACATTATTTAAGACAAAAGTAAAACACATTTTTTGGTGACATTATTTGACAAAAGAAAAACTATTTGTATGACATTTGACAAAAGAAAAAATGTTAACACCGCGGAGGTTCGAACCTGAGACCTCCTATATAATGTCCAACGTGATAGCCAACTCCCCATGACGCCGCGTTTTGCATGTTATGCTATAATAAATCAATATATTGATTTAAGATCTCAACGTTGGGTATTGAGAATTGTCCCACATCGAAGAAAGGTGGGACAAATAAAGGCTATGTAAACAATTCCAACATCAATGCTCCTGAAGAATAACTTGAGGCAGGAACCACGTGCGGTGCACGCAACAGTTTTGCACACGCATGGCACACACGAGATTTATTCACGAGCGACGCATGGTGACGTTAACCACAACCGATCTTATGATGTCATACTGGCGGTTCTTGCCGGTTTATGACGTCATGCGGGGGGTTCATTGTTCAGAACCGGCGATTCTACTCTAGAACCAGGCGATTTCCGATTTTACACATAAATTGGCATGGGGTCACCGATTCTCGTGCCGAATCGGGCGAGTCCGTTGCGACCGATTTTTAAACCACTGGTTACAAGCAAATAACATATGGGGTTCAATCAGTGGGGGAGAAGGGCCCCTACCCGTATTTTGCAGATCACCACATGGTTTGCTCTTCCCTCAAACCTCTCAACTATCCAGTTTCACTCAATTATGTTTTTTTGTTCATCATTTCACCAACTATGAAGTGGATAATGCTCTCTTAAGAATATCTTCAATAAAAAACCAGGTAATCATATATTTTTTATGCGTGATGCTTTCAAATGATAAAAATAATCACATGACTATGTTATAACCATAGTTAAAGGAACCTTGCGGGTAGGGTGACGATCCCGCGCCGGAACCTCGATCCCACGGTTCTTGCAAGGGATCTTGTAGGGACCCCGTTTTTTCGATTTTGGGATCTCGCTCCCAAAAAAGGGAACCACGTTCCACTCATCAGTGGAATCCAATTCCATTTCATTTCAAAATAGATTCCCACTCCCATCAACCATGGTCCAAGGTTTTGGTACATTAAAATATTGGGTTCCATGTTTATGGGTTATACTTTCATTAACGGATGATACCAGGTTAGAGATTGCATTCTCTGAAGTTCCCATTACTTAGGAATCATAAGTTCTATGATGTTAAAATCCAGTCCCTTTTTTTGCATAATACGAAGTTCTATTATGTTAGATTCTTAATTTGAACTAGGCATAGTTTAAAGTGACCCATTGTTTTATTAAGTCTTATTGTGTAAGTCATCCCTCTTAGTTGTGAGAATATATATTTCATCATTTAAAATCTTATATTTATGGTGTCCTATTGTTTTAGAGTTTTAAATCAGATTACAGTTGAGAGATGAGAATATATGTTCGATTTGAAGATGCAAAAAGCTTCTTTTACATTAATCAAAAGAGAGAGAGAGAGAGACTGAGAGAGAGAGAGAGAAATAGTATTTCATCTTGTCCTCTTTCTCCTTCGGAGAACCAGCCTTTGAAACAATGGAAGCAGAGGAGACTACATTCGAAGAAGATGAGTCTTGAGTGGTAAGATTTTGGGTTGCCGGGGACTCAAAGGGAATGGCGCATCCTAAACTTGTGTAATGGCATGAAGATCTAGTGGTCATAAGAAAGACCGACTTATAGAGCTACATAATTAATTTGTTGTTATTCATGCATAAATAAATACATCCATTGTTAAGGGTGGGGGGCACTTGATAAGGGATCCCTGGTAAATGGCACTCGCGGACCTCGGGGCCAATCAGCTGAGGACCTTGATTCCTATGCTTTAAGAATCTCGATATTAGAACAAGAGAAACCCCAGTTATATGACATACTTAAACGTCGATTCCTTAAACAAGGGAACTCGTACTAGTTCTAGTTACAACCTCATTTTTTTGTATAGTGTAGCTTAGATCGAACCCATTGACATCAGATCTCGCTCTCATAAACCTAAGGATCTCGCTCCTTGTCTTGTTCATTGTACAGATGCCGATCCTAACCATGGGGAGCTTCCACTATAGGCGATTCGGCAAATCCCGAACTGATCCCGCTCCCCCCTCCAACAACTATGGTTATAACCAATATGAACATAGTAACAACTATAAGAAGAAAGCATAGATCTAGTAACTATAAGAAGAAAGCATAACCAATATCAACATAGTAACAACTATGGCAAGGCATTCTTCCAAATCATAGCTCGGTTTCAAATTAACAAGCTCATGGTTCCTTCCATGCAATTTCATAACTTAATTTACACCAATATCCCACTCTCTCTCCACAAAGAGTTCAATAAGAATGTAAACTTAAACTTCAATCCATTCACAATGTTTCTCCCGAATTAAGTTCAAATAGCCATCATCAGACATACTTGATACGAGCTTATCAAAAACTACTGCAACAATATCAAGAACCACGGAATGCAAAATCAAACACAACATATTCAACAAGAGATAGTAAAAAAGGAAAAAAACCACCTGGATTAAACATCAATACACTCTCTTTCACCCTATGCTGAACATACAAATCTACATTCAAAATGTTAACCTTAGACATAACAGCTAAACATGATTTATCTATTAGTAATTGTCCCTCAAAATTAAAGTACGAAAACACCAATGCCAAGAAAAAAAGCTCACCACACGCAGGTAAGAGTTATGCTCTCAATGCTAAGAAATAAGACAAAAACCAAAGCACTCAGGTATTAGAAGAGAAAGCCTTAGCAAGCTTCAGGACAAGAGACAATTACAAAAGGAAAAAGGTAACATCCATCAATTTTAACAATAAAGCTGTAGGAAAAGAGCAAATATATCAGTGAGAACATCCATTAATTTTCCTAATGCACATTCAAACATGCACCACCCCATTGATTTCATCAGTGATAACAAACCCAGATGATTCTTCAACCATTCTGTGACCCAAACGAAAGCAGTGCTTCAAAGTAATAATCAACATACGCTTCAAAGTAATGATCCACAGAAATCAGAGAGCGCGAGGGAGAAGAGAGAGAGACTAATCGCCATTAATCTCAGAATCCTCCCAGATTACACCAAATAACAAACGAAGAAGCCTTAACTCACCGTATCATTTGCCTGAACCCTAATTTCAAAATGGTTCCCTTTCAATGTCTTCACCGTAAGCTTCATCCTCGCTGCAAAAAATTTCCACCAAAACTCACTGGAAAACCTCCAGAAACTTCAGACCTAACCAAAATCGGGCGATTTCAACCAAAAAAACTAGGGTTAGGGTAAGATTTTGGTTGGATAAATACGGCCTATTTTACAGGAAGATACTGAGCTTTCTTTTGAGATATCGAAGAGAGAGAAAACGTAGTTAGAGAGAGAAAGAGACTGAAGCCATAACTTTCCAGGGGTTCCTTGATCGAAAGACTGCTCGTTTACATATGATGTTACTAACGGCAAGGATAACGGAAGACGTTGACAGCTGTTGACGGGATAGCCGGGTTTTGTTGGAATTTACAGAAAGAGCCACGTTTTTCTTCAAAGGAAATGAAAAAGTAAGGAAAAAGTATGTGGTTTATGTGAGGTTGCAACCTTAAAGAATCTAATTAAGGCTTATCCCCAAATTTTATCGTAACATATAATTTTTTAAATAAATTTTTTTTAAGATTATCCGAAAATTTATTTTTATCATTAATTATATAATTTTAAAGTCTAAAATTGGTTAAAATCAATTAAATTTATAAATATATGAAAATCTTGAAAATAAGTGATCTAAATAATATGTTGCAAGATGCACTATTTATGAGACTCAAAACCTTTTTTTTTTTCATATATATACATCTCGATGTTGAGATGATCAATTAGAGGGTTTTTCAACATTGAAACATTTTTCTGATAGATTTTTGAAGTGCATCTTTAAACTACATTTTGAGGTTACAACATTGTATAAACTTGTCCTAAAGGAGAGGGGGGCTCGGGTAAAATAAAAAAGAAAATGATTTTATAGGGCTGCAGCCCTATCAAAATAAGTAAATCCTCGCCTGATAACTCGTCGGGAATTGTAAATCAAGCATTAAAAAATCTTTACATTGATATCAACTTGAACATTAAAAAAATTAAGATTTCAAACTTAGAAAATAGCGTATATTTTAACAAATTATCTAGACCGTCCATTTCTCCCTAAAGATAAGTATTCAAGTATCCACAATATCTATACAATTTTTTGAGTTTAAAATTTTATTGTTGGTATTGAAAATTGATTTTAAAACCATCATGGAAATTTTCGTCTCTTAAAGTGTTGTCTAGAAGATGATTTGAGGTGATGCTTTATTTTGTTTTCATAAAAATCCTAAGTCTTATAAAAACTTCAACCCAAAAAACACCCGATGAGGCAACTCCACATATAATACGTCCGCAGTAGAATTCCTTTCTTTATTTATTTATGTGAATGAAGTTTGCCCTCTCTCCCACAACAAAAAAAAAACATAATCCCCCGTCCATTACGGTATTCTAGGGCTGCGTAGTATTAAGGTATTTACAGTTTACACTAGTTAATGATATTGGCAGAATCACCATCTACAATAAGCTCGTTGTGATTTGGAGACAATCTAAAGAGCCTTTGTTTCGGTGCTACCAGCTCCGCCTCGTTACAACCTTGATATGTCTAGGTGATGGAACCAGTGTGGTCCCTAAGTAGCTCCTCATAACCAACATACCTGTCCTTCATTCTCAACACCCACATCAAAGTTAAGCATGATCCAACCATCTTGATGGTCTTGACTATTTTTACATTCTTGCTAAAGAGTAACCCACTAAAATTATTGTCAAAATATTCTTTAGCTACATCCTTGAATTCTTTCGGTGCTTGGGTCCACCAGATTGCAGTAGACCTCGGGGCTTTAATGACTGGTTGGAGATCCCATGTCTTCCCTTTAAAGGTTATGAAGTTCCTCTCTTGCCACAAGGTCCAGCACGTTGTTGCTATAGTTTTCATGCACATAGTTATCCCTGTTGGCTTTATGTGGCCTTTAAAGACCTTATAGTGTGTATTAGAGTATTTTATAGTGAAACATAAATTTAGTGGGAGTGTGATCCCTCAAGGACCATACTAAGCAAATGATGTTTACTTATACTGGACTGTGCTTATCGATCTATGCCAAGCAGTTGGAAAACCCAAGGTACCTGGGCATAAATAATTAATCGATGAGGGT